CGGGCCAAGAAGTTGCAAGTAGCTCTGGCAACCCGTGAGCCCGTAATGAACTTACCTGGCACAGGAGCGGGGCTGTGACTGCGCCGTAATGGAGTAACCTGGCACAGGAGCGGGGCTGTGACTGCGGCCTGGTACCAGGCGGAATAGTTGGTGTGGAACATGAGAGGGGGGAATGACCTGAGGGGCGGAAATCGAACACGGAGACCGAGGTGCAGCGAGGTACTAACAGTGATTCCTCCTTTAACCATTCTGTCTGTAACGTTTGCTTCACTCCCTGACTATTCGAGATGGACGGAGTTATGACTGGTGCGCCAGCCACCAGTATACGCCTTCAGAGGACTCAAGTTATATATGCCTATAATAGGGAAGTACATTGTTTGCTGGCCAAGCGTACAGGGGGATGTGGGGTTGTACTCTGTGGCTGGAGGTCATGTACTCGCTAACTCTCACGAAAGGAATTGTAAATTTGCCGGATTTTAAGAAATTGACATCGTGTGTGTGTGTGTGTGTGTGTGTGGACTCGCAAAGAAACGGTCACTAAAATGTCCTATCCCAACCTGCCAGAGGACCCAAAACAGAAAACGGGATAGTATATGTTAGCTTCGCAAGCTTCTTCCATTTTCAAGCACGACGATTTTTGGCCATAAGTAAACTATGAATCAAAATGCGACGGTGTACGAGGACGGGTTATTGAGTGTCTCTATACGAAGGTTCTTTGTAGTGTAGGATGGGACACAACTCCGGTAACCTCTGAACCCGACGGGTCCCAGTAAGAGATCAATACTCTCCTACCCTGTCATGTGTGATCACTTGGGCGTCAATATTAGAGGGTTTCTGACCCATTGTTGACTGGCTCTGCCAGATATGATAACTTTGCTACTGTCAACCTGTCAGTGATTGGGGGAAAGTATCTTTTTTGAAAGTGTGGAGTGTGTGTAGTACACCACACACACACACACACACACACACACACACACACACACACACACAGGGTAAAACAAAAGAACAAAGATGGTAACTTGGGGCGAAGATCATCCTCAGGGATGTAAGCAACTCCCTAAGAGTGTAGTATATATAGCACAGTAGATATAACAAGACTCAGTATAGGTTGAGGTGGGACTAAGGAGCTGAAGCTCGACCCCGCCACCACAATCGGGTGAATACTAGCAGGTCACACCTGGAAGGCAATTATGGAGACGAGCGTGAGATGGAGGAAGACTTTGATGATCTTTCTGACAGTTTAAGGAGAGTGTCAACTATTATACTGATACACCTCTCCTATTTCCTGTGACCTCTGCTGCATACCTGTGACCTCTCCTACATACCTGTGACCATCTGGTGTATTATGGAGGGTAAAACTGAGGCTAAGACAGTTTATTCAGTCTTGTGGTTGTTATACCTGTCGATTATTTCAGTGTTGCTTGTTAAGATGTCTCTAGTGATGTTCCTTGATGGAGCCCTGTTGCTCGTGCATTGTTAATCACCTAGAGAGTTATTGTTGTCTTGTCTATATACTGAGATCGTTGGGGCTTACAATCCCCAAGTGGGCATATATATATATATATATATATATATATATATATATATATATATATATATATATATATATATATATATATATATATATATATATATATATATATATATATAATATATATATATATATATATATATATATATATATATATATATATATATAATATAATATATATCACATACGTATTACACATGTTAAAATATAACCAAAGGTATATAAGTTAATTAGCAAACCTGATATAATGTCTTCACTTACGTGGGTCATATCACATTGGCAAGTGGAGTTAGAATCCCAAATTCAAATGGGAACTAATAAATAGGTCAGCTGGGAACGTTAAATGATGCCAACAGTTTACACACGACTGTGCTTCAGTCAATAGTCACTGTGCACTATTTCAACAGGTAAACATCGAGTGAAAATATTGTATTTATTAAAAGAGGATTGCAAATTGTAACAACAAAATTTTTATTAAATTAAGCGAATATTGATTGCAGGCGACATGCTTATAATTAGTATATTCTGGCGCTTTGGGGACGGCCTCAGCTTGGACGAGCATAGTCTGAGGACGACCTCAGCTTGGACGACCATGGTCTGAGGACGGTCTCAGCTTGGACGACCATAGTCTGAGGACGGCCTCAGCTTGGACGACCATAGTCTGAGGACGGCCTCAGCTTGGACGACCATATTCAGAGGTTCTGGAAAACACACAAGATGGCCTCAGGATGCCTCACAATAACTGATGTGTTAGCCAAAAATGACACCTTCACAGAGTTGACCACAGCCTTGGGTAAGCGCCACTATATAACAACGCAACAACTAACAGAACTGTGTATACCCGAGACAACATGGCTCTTGCCATTGTGGTCACACTATAGTGTTTTGGCGGGAGTGTGAGCCTCCCCGGGAGACCATCACCTGCTCCACATGTGACCAAATGTAAACACTGGCAGGAGACGCTGCATGCACCCGTGGCATCCAGGACGGGCTTGGGTCAGGGAGACGGCCTCCCCTCACACGAACATCCCCTCAACTCCTCCCAGTCACCCAGGCCTCCAATCAACACCTCTCCCTCATCCCAAACCTCCAATCACCTCCTCTCTCATCCCAGGCCTCCAATCAACACCTCTCCCTCATCCCTTAGCCCCTCCCCCTGACCCAAGTCTTTCCCTGAGACAGACAACAAAATCTCCGGAGATGATTTGTCCATTATTGTGTGTGTGTGACCTGACCCCAGCACTAAGCCTGACGAGCCAGGGGTCACCGTCCCTGGCACTGCCTCAGGGACAGTGCCAGGGACCTCCCAGGCGAGGGACGACGCCTGCACCCACCGTAATATTAAAGACACGTCCCTCAACCTGCCCCACTGCTGCCAAACCCCTTTCCTCCCCCCTACCCCTCCCTCCCCTAAGAAAAAGAGTGGACGAGAAAAATGATAAAGCGATCAATTGAGGGTTATTCTCCTCGGTGCATGCGGGAGGGAGCAGGAAAATGATGATGGAGGAGGACAAAGGAGGACGACAAGGACGACAGGAGGAGGAGGAAGAGGAGGTATGGTGAAGTACACCAAGGTTCACTTCCACAGGGAAGAGCACCGTTGAGACTAAGTCATGTTGACTACACGTTGCAGGAGCTGGCGGGCTTGTGGCTCTTGTGGGGAGGACTTGTGGCGTTGATGGGACTTGAATGACTTGAAGATGACAACATCTTCAATCTTCATTCAGATTCAAGAATGACTTGAATGACAAGTCATTCTTGATGGACGCAAGACAGTGCTTCACTCTTGCCAGTACACGCCCAGCTGATTGTTCTGGCAACACTGACGCCTGTACCTGGCCAGGTGTCACTACCAATCACCGTGTGCCAGGTGTCACTACCAATCACCGTGTGCCAGGTGTCACTACCAATCACCGTGTGCCAGCTGTCACTGCCAATCACCGTGATCCAGGTATCACTAACCCCAACAGACCGCAAGAGACGATACACAAACCCCACACCATAATATCACATTAGCATGAGGTTAAACAAATTAAATTTCATCAAATATCAAAAGCAAATTTGTTTTGAAGTTGGGGGAGAGGGGGATGATAGTGCTACACTGTGGCTAAAGTGGCAGTGTTGTGTGTGTGTGTGTGTGTGTGTGTGTGTGTGTGTGTGTGTGTGTGTGTGTGTGTGTGTGTGTGTGTGTGTGTGTGTGTGTGTGTGTGTCCTGTGTGTGTGTGTGTGTCCTGTGTGTGTGTGTGTCCTGTGTGTGTGTGTCCTGTGTGTGTGTGTGTCCTGTGTGTGTGTGTGTGTGTGTGTCCTGTGTGTGTGTGTGTCCTGTGTGTGTGTTTGTCCTGTGTGTGTGTGTGTGTGTGTGTGTGTGTTTGTCCTGTGTGTGTGTGTGTCCTGTGTGTGTGTGTGTCCTGTGTGTGTGTGTCCTGTGTGTGTGTGTGTGTCCTGTGTGTCTGTGTGTGTGTGTGTGTCCTGTGTGTGTGTGTGTGTCCTGTGTGTGTGTGTGTGTCCTGTGTGTGTGTGTGTGTCCTGTGTGTGTGTGTGTGTCCTGTGTGTGTGTGTGTCCTGTGTGTGTGTGTGTCCTGTGTGTGTGTGTGTGTGGTGTGTGTGTGTGTGTGTGTGTGTGTGTGTGTGTGTGTGTGTGTGTGTGTGTGTGTGTGTGTCCTGTGTGTGTGTGTGTCCTGTGTGTGTGTGTGTCCTGTGTGTGTGTGTGTCCTGTGTGTGTGTGTGTCCTGTGTGTGTGTGTGTCCTGTGTGTGTGTGTCCTGTGTGTGTGTGTGTGTGTGTGTGTGTCCTGTGTGTGTGTGTGTGTGTGTGTGTGTGTGTGTGTGTGTGTGTGTGTGTGTGTGTCCTGTGTGTGTGTGTGTGTGTGTGTGTGTGTGTGTGTGTGTGTGTGTGTGTGTGTGTGTGTGTGTGTGTGTCCTGTGTGTGTGTGTGTGTGTGTCCTGTGTGTGTGTGTGTCCTGTGTGTGTGTGTCCTGTGTGTGTGTGTGTGTGTGTGTGTGTGTGTGTGTGTGTGTGTGTGTGTGTGTCCTGTGTGTGTGTGTGCAAGTGTGTGTGTGTGTGTGTCCTGTGTGTGTGTGTGTGTGTGTGTGTGTGTGTGTGTGTGTGTGTGTGTGTGTGTGTGTGTGTCCTGTGTGTGTGTGTGTCCTGTGTGTGTGTGTGTCCTGTGTGTGTGTGTGTGTCCTGTGTGTGTGTGTGTGTCCTGTGTTGTGTGTGTGTCCTGTGTTGTGTGTGTGTCCTGTGTGTGTGTGTGTGTCCTGTGTGTGTGTGTGTGTCCTGTGTCCTGTGTTGTGTGTGTGTCCTGTGTGTGTGTGTGTGTCCTGTGTGTGTGTCCTGTGCGTGTGTGTGTGTGTGTGTGTCCTGTGTGTGTGTGTGTGCAAGTGTGTGTGCAAGTGTGTGCATGTGTGTGTGTGTGCATGTCTGTGTGCATGTGTGAGAGTTACATGGGGAAGGTGTGAGGCGGTCACTTACCGACGGTGGCCATGCCGGCACCAATGAAGATGAGGAGGACGCCGATGGTGAGGGCCTTACAGGCGTTCCACAAGCAGCTGGTGGTGACCTTGCCCTTGACCGCCTGGATGCTCCACTGCCGCTTGGCCTGCGACCGTCGAGGTCTCAGGGTTTCGCTGCGCTGACTGGCCGAAGCTGCAGCGGCTTGCGCAGCCTGCCGCAGCTTGGCCGACATCAGCGCCCCAGAGTACATCTTCGTCTCCTGCTGCACGCCCTCCTACTTCTGCCGAAGAGGAGACCAAGCATTAGTGACTAATACGATCATCACAGACACGTCAGTTACCTGTAAATGCTAAGGAAGTTAAGGAAGGTGATAGATGCACAAAGTATCTGGGAAGATTGACTCCGGTGGAAAATAGAAAACTCGGGCATTCTGTCCTCCAGGTTGATACATTCACCCGACCCCCTCGAGGTCGTCGTCGTCAGCCTCTTCGAGTTGAGAAGATCTCTTTTTGATAGCAGAACCCTTCCGCCTTCTATAATTCTTGCTGGAATCAGATTGAGTACATTCCCTCTCCTAGATTTTGGAATAAGTGCTATAATAAGCCCATTCTTGAATTTTTTCCCCTAGACTTTCACACTCGTCTCCAGCTTCCCTATAATCTCTTCTCTCTCTCCGAACTTCAGTCTGCCCTGGCCCTCTGTGGTTCTACGGCAGCGGGCTCGGATGACATTCATTATGAGATGCTTCGCCATCTCCATTCATGCGCATCTTGGTATTTACTCACTCTGTATAATCCTATGTGGGAGTCATCATCAGTCCCCGAGGACTGGCTCCAGGCGGTGGTTCTTCCTATTCGGAAATCAGGGTCTCTAGGGACATCCCCTAAGGACTTCTGCCCTATTGCCCTCACGAGTTGCGTTTGCAAACTCTTTGAACATATGGTCAATGTCAGTTTGATGTAGTTCTTAGAACATCATCACCACTTCTCCCCTTCTCAGTTTGGCTTTCGTAAGTGCCGCAGCACAACTGATGTCTTGGTGAACTTGGAGGTTTATTTGTAATGCTTTTGCTGCCAAGACCTCCGTTGTTGCTGTCCTTTTTGACCTGGAAAAGGCATATGATACCACCTGGAGATATCACAGTTTGTCCCAACTCCGTTTTTTGGCCTTCGTGGTAATCTCTCTTCCTACAAAGCTTCCTCTCTCGTTGTTCCTTTAGAATGAGGCTGGGTACTGCTCTCTCTTGCCTCTTTTCGGCAAAATGAAGATGTACCCCAAGGTAGTGTTCTGAGCACTATGCTTTTCCATGTTGCCCTCAGTGGTCTTCTTTCCTCCCTTCCCTCTGGCATCTTCTCGGTGCTCTATGTCGATGATCTTATTCTTTGCTGTTGGGGTCATGACTCCTTTCCTTCAATGACGGCTTCAACTTGCGATTGATGCCGTGTTATCTTGGGCCACCAATCATGGCTTCAATTTCTCTACAACTAAGACTTGAGCCATGACTTTTACTCAGAAGCGGGTCGTTCTTCGTCCCTCTTTGTTGCTTTATGGTCATCGACTTGTGTACAAAGATTTAAGTAAGCTTTTGGGGTTAATTCTTGACACTCGTTTGTCTTTGTCACCCCATATCTCTTACCTCTGAGTTGAATGCTGTAAGGCCCTAACCTCCTTAAGGTTTTGTCCCATACTTCTTAGGAAGTTGATAGGTGCATGCTCCTCTCTTGACATTCCTCTCTCATTCTGTCTAAACTCAATTATGGTTGCCCTGTTTACTCGTCTGCTTCTCCTACTTTTCACCGTCTTGATGCTCTGCACCACACTGAGTTACGTCTCAGCTCTGGTGCCTTTCGTTTGACTCCTCCCCTCAGCTTGTATGTTGAAACCGGCGTCCTGTCTCACCAAGACCGCCGTGATCGCTATCGTCTTCGTACCTTGCGCTTACAGCACCCTCAATCTTGCCTTTGTCGTGCTTTGAATTTTGCCCCTCCTGTGGTCCCTGTTCCCCTTCACTACCTCCCTCTTTCTGTATGGTTGACTTGCCTACAAAATTCTCTTTAGGTTAGTATTACCGGTATTTCTCCTCGTGTTGTTTCGTCCATGCCCCCATGGAGGGTCCCCTTTCCTAAATTTTGTAAAACCTTGAGCCACATCACTAAAGCTTTTACCCCTACTAAAGTTCTGAAATGTCTTTTCCTTGAACACTTTTCTTCACATTCCCGCTCCATTTCCCTCTTCACTCATGGGTCTTAGTCTGCAGACGGTGAAGTATACTCTGTTGTTTTTCTTGACCACACTTGTGTGTGTTGCCTGCCACTGGAGACTAGCATCCTCACGGCAGAACTTTATGCAATTCTCTCTACTCTTCGTCAACTGCTTTCTCGCTGTCAATCCTTTGTTGTTGTTGTAGTTGACTCTCGCAGTGCCCTCATGGCTCTGGAGTCCTTTAATCCAGTCCATCCGGAGGTCGTCATGATTCAACATTGGCTGTTTTTTTATCTCCAGTAGATTTAAGACTGGATTTTTGCTGGGTTCCCAGCCATATTGGTGTGTCCTGAAATGAGTGTGCGGACGCTGCCGCCAAGGAAGCTGTCCGCACTTGTCCCATCGTCCGCAAAGGTATTCCTTATTCTGACTTTTACCCAGTTATTCATTCCTCCATCCTTGCTCATTGGCAGGGTTGTTGGTCTTCTGTTACTGGTAACAAACTGCGTACTCTTAAGAGTAGTGTCCCCCCGTGGCCTTCCTCCTACCACTGTAACCGGCGGTGGGTAACGGCTCTGGCGAGGTGGCGTATTGGCCATACATGGTTAACTCAGATACTTAATTGAGCGCCACCTTGCTCCTTATTGTCCTAACTGTATTGTCCCTCTTTGGGTCGTGCATATCCTTGTTAAATGTTCTGATTTCCAGAACGAGCGTGTGTCTTGTTTCCCGACCGTCCCTCGTGGTCACTTGTCCCTCGATAGAATTCTCGGTGACTCGGATACTTTTGATATCGTTCGCCTTATGCGTTTCTGTTCTCGTATTGGCATCCTTGGTGATATTTAGCGCTCTCTGGTTATCCCGCACATTTGATGGTGATATATAGCCTTCCCGGTTTGGTGCCTTCTTTTATTAATTACTTACTTGAACACCCAACCTCTACACCTTATTGAAGGACTGGGCACCCAACCCCCACACCTTAATGAAGGAAGTGAAGGCGTTTCTCTACATCCAGGACCATCAGCAGGTGTACATGGTGGGGGGAGGACCCGGAGGGGGAAGAAGGGCATATAAGCGCTGGCATGTAAGTGGGGGTGAGGTAACAAGGTAAGTTCAATGACATCTTCAATCGGCATAGAGTTAACGCGTGCTCTGCTCCAGGATATCAAGCGTAATACGGCAGCTTGATTTGGCTTCCCAGTGACAGTGGAGAGACGCTGAAGGGCGGCCTGAGACTCCCTCACCTGCTGTGGGTGCCGCCAGCCTGGTCTGGGGTCGAGGCACATCCTCCCTGCGCTGCGCCACAAGAGAGAGTGCCTGCCAGCGGACCTCCAGGGGTCGCTGCCTGCCGTGCGGCTTCCTGACTCGCCTACCCTGAACCAATCACAATACCCCTAGCAGCTTAGCTCGAGTCTGACTGGTCGGCCCGGCCCAGGTGTAGTCCTGGGGAAGTTTGACACCAGCTCATGGAGGTTTGACATCTGTGTGGCGGTTGTTATGGTGGTGACAGGTGGCCCTGGCACCAGCTGGCGCTGTACGACCTTGGCACCAGCTGGCTAACAGCTCATTATTACACACACGAACTAGTGACCAGTCTGCACTAATTAACAACAATTCTTAACGATAAATTAAGGAGAGTTTCTGATTGACGTTTAGCAAGTGGGCGGAAGTGGTTCATTGTCGGGGGAGAAATTCCTTGTACAATGGTACTTGATCTGAATATTGTCCCGTTATAAATCCCCCTTACTGGAGCACTGCAGTGTACCCTTACTGGAGCACTGCAGTGTACCCTTACTGGAGCACTGCAGTGTACCCTTACTGGAGCACTGCAGTGAACCCTTACTGGAGCACTGCAGTGTACCCTTACTGGAGCACTGCAGTGAACCCTTACTGGAGCACTGCAGTGTACCCTTACTGGAGCACTGCAGTGAACCCTTACTGGAGCACTGCAGTGTACCCTTACTGGAGCACTGCAGTGTACCCTTACTGGAGCACTGCAGTGAACCCTTACTGGAGCACTGCAGTGTACCCTTACTGGAGCACTGCAGTGAACCCTTACTGGAGCACTGCAGTGTACCCTTACTGGAGCACTGCAGTGTACCCTTACTGGAGCACTGCAGTGTACCCTTACTGGAGCACTGCAGTGAACCCTTACTGGAGCACTGCAGTGTACCCTTACTGGAGCACTGCAGTGAACCCTTACTGGAGCACTGCAGTGTACCCTTACTGGAGCACTGCAGTGAACCCTTACTGGAGCACTGCAGTGAACCCTTACTGGAGCACTGCAGTGAACCCTTACTGGAGCACTGCAGTGAACCCTTACTGGAGCACTGCAGTGAACCCTTACTGGAGCACTGCAGTGAACCCTTATTGGAGGTTCACTGCAGTGAGCCTAGTCAGTAAGGGACATCTACAATTTAATGTTCAAGGGAGAACATGATTTCTCTTTCGCAAAGTTGACACATTCGTGAAAGGGGGTTGGGGTGGGGGGTGGGTGGGGGTGGCAGTAGGAGGTACTAGTGTGAGGGGGGATGGGGGCGCCGACAGCTTCCCCCTTCACTAACGAGAACAAAAACTTACCAAACACGGAGGTTCAGGAGTTTACTGAAAAGTTTGGTCCCCACAGACTGGCCAGGGAGCCTCAGGCGGCCACTCACCCTTCACCCTGGCCACTACTTGGAGGCAGTGTGAGGGCCACACTGCTCACTCCACCATCTGGGAGGCAGTGTGAGGGCCACACTGCTCACTCCGCCATCTGGGAGGCAGTGTGAGGGGCCACACTGGCCACTCCACCATCTGGGAGGCAGTGTGAGGGCCACACTGCCCACTCCACCATCTGGGAGGCAGTGTGAGGGCCACACTGCTCACTCCACCATCTGGGAGGCAGTGTGAGGGCCACACTGCCCACTCCACCATCTGGGAGGCAGTGTGAGGGCCACACTGCCCACTCCACCATCTGGGAGGCAGTGTGAGGGCCACACTGCCCACTCCACCATCTGGGAGGCAGTGTGAGGGCCACACTGCCCACTCCACCATCTGGGAGGCAGTGTGAGGGGCCACACTGCCCACTCCACCATC